TTTCAAAATGTTAAAACCATGTTGTGATGTAATAAAGATAGGGATGTGCTTGTACCTTCCCTTTCCTATTACTTTTTTTTCAGACTGAATCTTTTAAATAAACCTTATGGACTGAAGAATTGAAAAATGCCTTTCCTTCCTGCCTTGATTGTCTCATTTTCAACAGCTGTTACTGGATGTGTTTCAATACAGACCAGGTTTAAGAATATGTTGAAGGGTTTACTTACTTTTATATTAATGGCACATTAATTTAAAATATACTAGTTTTTTTTTTTTACATTTCAGAACATTTCAATCATTTGAAAGTAATTTATTTGTATTCTTTTGGTGTCATGATTATTTTATATTTTTCATTATATATTTGTTGTTTAATATGCTACAAAAATATATTAATAAAAATCTATTACATGCCCCTACGTAAGATTGGAAATTATGTTTAGTTCAACTTCACAATAGCTTGCCAGAAATCACAAATGTTTCTACAATAGGGTAAAAAGCATTTGTGATATCTTTTCTAAAGTATTTAGGAGAAATCAAAGCTATTCAGGATATAATACTGTGCCTTCCTTCTGTTCTCTTCAGGACATCTGTCCTGAATTCATCCTCCAGCACAGCTGCAATTAACAAGGAAGGACCAAAGTCAGGTCCAAGTTCTTGAGATAATAAAGAAAATGAATAGAATGATGGAGTAGGTGTTGCAGTAATCAAAATGAGAAATAACCAAGGGATGGGTAGCAATCGCCAAGTCCAATCAGCTGACAAAAAGCCACTGTTGTTGCTGGCAGACATAGTGCCAAAGCAAGAGGCATGGCATCCAGTGGACTAAGGGTTTATAGAGAGGTGTCCATAGCTGGTTCCAGAGTCAAAAGACAATTTCAGCGGGCAAAGAAGAATCCAGATGATAAGACAAAAGCGATATTCAGTATACAAATATGTGATCATTAAAACCAAGTGAAATAACTTTTTTGAACGTTTAGTTAAAAATCATCACTGGAAATGATTCCACACTCTCCGTTTACATAAATTCTTGATGCAAGTAATTGTAGCAATGGTGTGATGACATTATGGGTACAGACTTTGTGTAAATGACAGCTAGAAGAAATGGCAATGCTGAACTCTAGTAAATGCCCTATTTTGTACTCCTTCAACTTCTTTCCATTTCCTGTTTCATGTATTACCTATTCTAAGAATTAAAACTCTTTCTGGGATGACTTTGACATTTTCAGAATTCTGGATTTGTTCACAGAAAACTGGTTGCACCTACAGACGTGTGAAAAAGAAAGTACACCCTCTTTGAGTTCTATGGTTTTACGTATCAGGACATAATA